ACGACAACGTAACAAAGTAAATAATAATAGTATATATATATATATATATATATATATATATATATATATATATATATGAAATTTTTGCCTTTTCATAATGAAAACCAAAACGGACTTTAAAACCTTTTTCGTTTATTTTTATATTAGGTTCTTGCTCCATTTAGGTCACACACGCTAACTCTCTCTATAGTGAGATAGTGTTAACGACCAGCATCCCTGCCAACATCCTCGCGTCACATTATTCGAAGACGACTCTTGGGCCTCCTTCACTCGTGAACTACGTTCACTGCTCACAGAAGGGAAGAGACAGCCTTCGCAAAAGAAGTTAATACGAGTTATTTCTCTAATTATATATCCTTTGTTTAGCACAATTTTTGTCGGGTAATTAGGGTTTTGGATTTTAGGTCCTGAGAAAGCTTAAAGCTTGTTATTTAGAGTGTATTCTGCCCTTGTCAATACCTAAATTTGAAAAAAGAATGGCGGATTTTGAGTACTTGCACAATATGTATGACATTAGGCTAAGGCCTCGTTTGTTAAGGTCTTTAATGGCGGATAGGGTGCCTGATGAGAAGCGGCCATTGTCAAGCCCTTTGGAGCTGTCTAATGTCGTCTCTTGTATCAAACTCCATAAGTTATTATCAGAAACTTATCCTGTAAAGGTCGATAAATCTAATTTCAATGACTGGAAGAGCGCGGTGGACTCATGGATTGAGCGCTTATTATCATTGGCCTCAAGCGAAATGGTATGTCTGTATTTATTACAACTCATTCCTTTCTTTTTTTGCTTTTGGAAGAATATATGGTTTTATTCGTTGAAATCGTAGTCACCTTACATTTTATAAGTAAAAAATTACAATACAGTCTTTTTTTATACAATTTTTTCATTAGTGATGTAATTGTCTGAGCTAGAATATATAGTTATATACACTATGCATCTGCTGGCTATATAATGCAAATCCATTATTTCTTTCTCCCTGAATGATTGAGTTCTTTCGTTATTTGAACTGAAAATTATCAAGAAAAGGCATGCTCAGTACCTCCATTTCTTGTACACTGTACTTTTTGCTTATTTTTCGTTTTAATGTCGGAGTCTGCATAGTATTGCATCATTTCAGGCTTGTTAGACTGATTTTGCAACTCTCGGTCAGCTTATGCATGATGCTGGATTAATTAAAAAAAAAAAAACATTGTAACTGTTAGACACTTGAAGGAATTACCTAGGTTTTCATTATAATAAACACATTTAACACTGCTATATCAAGCCACAAAGTGGAGCCTAATACTATGTGACATGTTTGAATTGTTTAGATATGTTATGGTTGTTGCCTTTCCTTGTCCTAGTTGGGGTAAACACTTCACTTACTTTTCCTACTGATTCAGTTTATGATTTTAATTCCTTTTAATCATAAAAATTAGCATCCCTCCAAATGAGAAACTTTGATATGTTTCTTCATGTTTTCTTTATCTTGTATGATTTGACAAACAACAACGACCTAGCTAGCAATCATTGTATACCTTTTTCCCCTGTTATCTCATGCCGCAAGTAATTACTTTATGTGCTCCTTTTCTTGAAGAATTTGCTTCCTTTTTTTTTTTTTCCTGCTTTTGGGAGTGAGCTTCTTTGAAATTTATGATTCAATATTATTTGGTTGTCTTTGAAATTCTTCAAGTTCAATTCCTCATTATTTGATTTCTTTATGTCGAAACTGACAAACTGACTTCTTCCATTATAAATTGTAGCCTGACAAGTGTTGGGCAGGTGTTTGCTTGCTAGGCCTAACAATCCAAGAATGCAGTTTGGATCGTTTCGTGGCGTCGTACTCTAATTGGTTTCAAAGGCTTCTTGTACACTTGAAGGTTGTAACTCTCAACTTTCCCCTTGGTTCTCTCCTGCCTTTCTGTCATTTTAAGTTAATAGATATTGATTGGACTTGGCCTACTAATTGGAATAGAAGGTGTGTATTCATCATTTGAAGATTGAAAAGCATTTATATAAAAGTTTCACTTGCCTTGGTGCCATATATGTATATCTAGCTTTGAAATGAGTAAATATACATGACTTGTAAAATATGCAATTTAATGCAAAAGTTTTTGTATGTGGATGGAGTCCTAAAAGAATTGTTTGTAAATTTGATATTAAACGTGGTGGGAATCAAATGTTGTAGGGTCCTTTTCTATTCTAAATTTCAAAGGGCCTTAAAAGAACCATTTTTATGCGAATCCAGATTCAAAATATAATAGTTTATTGTCTCACGAAAGTTCCAACATAATCTATTTGCTTGTCAGGATGAGTGCAGTTTTCTTATTTACTGGCTTCTGATGGTGCACAATAGATTGGTATAGTTTGTAGATGTGATAATAAATTGTAGTGTCTGCACCATTAACTACTCACATCAACACACGCACATGAACTTCTTGTATGAGCATGGACATCCAGAGGAGGGAGTACCATTCCTTTCTAGTATCTATTGTCTCTTAATTTACACCAGCGGCAGGTCAAAGCTCGTCTCCTTCACTGAGCGCCAGTGGAAGAGATCACATGCCTTCCGGGAGGTGAACATTGCTGCTGATTGCCAGGCAAAGAGCACAGCATTTATGGCTGAAGCCACAGTATTGCGGGCCCGTCCCCTGGATTTTGTAACTCCTTTCATTTTGCGTGGCCTTGCCAACAAGCCCCTAGAAAGGGTTGTGTAATGCTTGTATATGTAACCTTCCAACATGTAACCTTTTTTGAGAGTACAAAAAAAAAAGAGCGGGTAGGGGCTCTTCGTCCTCACTGATTTACCCAAAAAAAAAAAAAATCATGGCTCTCCATTCGCTTTCTTGCATGTGTTGTATGTTATTACAGATGTACAAGAGACATGGATTTGAGGTTAAACTTAGGTTTGCTGCAGTCCAGACAAACTTTCCTAATGAGACACTGCTTATTTCCACAACACTTTGTGTACGAGTAACTAAAATCAGGAAAAATATGATTTCCATTCCTCTCATAGGTGAAATCATTGAAATTTTGTGGAGCTGCTTTAACATGTGATTAGCAATGTAGCCTGCTATCTCAAGTTTGATGGGGGATTTTTTTTTCTTTAAATTATATTCTTTCTTAGTTTTGTATCTCGTCAAGGTTGCGCTCCAAGTTGTTGCTTGCGTACAGGAAATTTTAGTATAGAAATGTTCGCATGTGCCAATATGTTAAGAAACATAGGATTAACTCTTTCAAGTGGGTGTTTACTACTGTTGGTGGTTGGACTTAAAAATAAGGAGTGATGTCTGAAATTGTAGTTTTGCATTGGCGGCACTCATTTATAAATATCTAGCAAAAGATAAAAGCTTTTGACCTTTTTTGTACATAAACTAGACATAATGTCTTCTCTTTGTTCGAATTTTACTGAAAACTGATATACAATTTTCAATAGCCAGTGTTCCAAAAATAGGCCAGACCAGCGCCTAGGTGCCCAAAAGCCCTAGGTCTGGCGACCTAGGGCCTTTTGGGCACCGATTCCTTTAATTTTTTTTTATCAGTATGGTCCACACTTTTGAGAGCTCAAGGGATGTTTGAATTGGATCTTCATTATGTTCACTTTGTTTGCTGAATGAATTTATTAGTTTATCTACATCAAATCTAATCTGTAGTACAGTAATAGACAATGTATTAGATGGAAGGTATATCATTCTCATGGTGTCTACTTGTTATTGATGCAGCCTGCATCAGGCTCTCATTTCATCAAAGTGACTGCATGTGCTTCCTTACTGGATCTGTTCACAAGGTTTTTTCTTACAATTCCAGTTTATATGTTTTTTAATTCATGAACATGGTGTTAATTCTTTTTTTTTTCTTTGTATTTTTATTTCTTTGTATTTCATTTCAAGAAATTGAAACAATATTTTCATGTTCTGAATGTATTTTATTAGATTTGGAGTGCTAAAGAATTTATTTTCGTTGAAACCCTTTGCCTAATCAATTGTAGGTGAACTGGTTCCTGTTGAATTAGTTGTAAGTGACTCCCACTTGGTAAGCCTGATGATACAGACCAGGATAATGTGTCCTGCTCTAAATGGTTCCGTAAGGAAGTTGCTTTGACATGATTAATGTAATAATTTGCTTTTGAAGGGAATACTGTTTTGGTATGACCATCAAATATTGACTACATTCTTTGCTTGTCATATTCATTGAAACCCTTTGCGGAGTACGGTTTTATGCAGCCATTGTGGTTTCCTTTTAGATATTATGAATCATCAATTTCTCATATACTAGAGCAATTTAGTTGCTTAAACCATATTCGTTTTTGTTACTACTGTAAGGTTGGGTGGCATCCCAAATGTAAAGAAAGAGGGAACATCTCTTGCTGGGAAGCTGATACAACCAATTCTGCAGTTATTGTCTGAGGATTGCTCAGAGACTGTATGCGTAAGCATTTCTAATTCTATAATGTTTTTTTATCCATTTTCACAACATGAAAAGAATCTTTAGTTTTGCTTACATTCTGGTATTTTATTGAATTGGCTTGGGTACTAATCATCTAAGAGTTATTATACTTCATGCAATGTTATGTTTTCATTTTAGGCCTTGCGACTTTATGTTACAGGTTCTTTGGTTCCTTCGTGTTTTTCCTTATTTATAGAAATTATGTATGTATTTATAGCATGATGGCTATGCTTATGGACTGTTGTCAAAATCTATTATTCCACATGTTAACCTCGTAAGAGATTTCAAGAAGTGGGAGAGAGATGGCTCTAATACTGGACAGCACTTGTTCACTTTGTTTAAGGGTGTCTCCAAATTGTGTACAATTGTTCAAGAGCCAATTGATATGCATGCTTGCTGTCAACCGACATCTATTTCCATCATTAATATGTTTAGCAATGATTGTGTTGGACATGGTGTGATTGAAATTCTTTCCTTCTAAGATATTAATAATCAAGAATTTGAATCTCACTATTTTATTTTGAAATTTATTTTTGAGTCAATGTTTGAAAACTCGACTTTATTGCTCGGGACCACATCTTGCATCCTAAATCCATGTGCACTTGCTATGGTTTAAGAGTGGATCTCAATTATTTTGCTAGAATCAGGTGTATACTGTGACCTGCACAAGTTTTAATTGACTGTAATACAAGCTTTTTCGGTGTTCCAGTGCTTCTTAAAAAAAGGCTATTCTAAAGAATATTAAGTTTTTATGGATAGGGCTTAGTGAGTCCATTAGGGGCTTGTGGAGTCAACTTGCATGGGAACTAGATTGATAAGCCAAGTGTGAGTTTTTTAAATAAGACTTAGTTATGGGCACCTCCATCATGTCAGCAGTGCTTCAAAGAAAGGGAGACTATGATCTGAGTCCCTTGCGACCATTAGGTGGGCAAGTAAGAGCCATTGCTATTTTACCTTTATCTTTTCCAATTTTTTTTAAACTTGAGGGTTGTGAATTTTGTCTATTTAACTGCTTCTTTCAGTCCTTTCATGTAAAGTTAAATGCCTCCACCTGTTTACTTTCATGCGTCCTAGAAAGAAAAATACGAAATTTGTGTTAAGATTGGGAGAGAAGAGAGAGATAGAGAGTAATATTCAAGCACAAGATAAAGTGAATACATATGTTACCCACACACTACAAATGATAGGGCAATGTGCCCTATATATACACAAATTCTTATGTGGGTTACAGTATGGGTAGGTCAACATGCAAAAGAATTGCAACCTTTGCAACAAGAGTTACAATAACTTTTACGACAGGTTCTAATAGGCATGAGGTCTATTATTCATAGGAGTTGCATGTTTTAATGGCGTGGCTATAATACCATAGTAGCCACTACATGAGGCCCATTATGCATAGGAGTTACAGCTGTTACATAGGTTTTAATGGGCATGAGCACATAACACAGGTTTTAATTGGCATGAGCCCATAACACTTGTTTAAGTGATGTTTCTCTTCCTGTTAAAAGTAGAATATCTTTATGATTTTTCTGTTCTGTGGTCTCAAGTTGCTTTGCGGGATGTATTTAATATACTTGGTGGCTGAAGTTGCTTGTAATTAAATAATGCAGCATGCCACTTTGTATGGGCCTCATATATTCCAACTTCGTATTAGATAAGGGAGTGGGCTTCTAATTTATCTGTGCTTCAGGGTTGGCTTATCATTTATTCCAACTTGTCATACATGGACCACAGCAATTTTTTATTTGTCATTGTAGATTGTGATTTATATTATGGTGGAATCTTTGCAGGAAGGAGTGGTCGATTTGTTATGCACCCTCATAACCTTCTTTCCATCTTCTATTCATCATCATTATGATAACGTGAGTGGATCCCCTTGTTCTTCTATTTGCTCATTTGGTTGTCAGTGATCATTGATCTTATTTGACGAGTCATGCATCATTTAGATTTTAGATGACTTGGTTTATTCGGGATATTGTATTTAAATTTCTTAATACCACTTAGGTTCACTAATTTATTAGCCTTTTTTTTTGCTTTTTGTTTTTGTTTGTTGGATATGGAGCTTACTGGGATTTTTCTAACATGGGTGACGATCCTGCTCCCAGAACTCAATCCCCTGTTACCGGAGCAGGTTCGGGGTTGGCATGTGATCCCATGTTGGGCGAGTGCGATTCTAAGCCAATAGGAGTTGTTCAGCCAGTCAACCACCTATAATTTTTATGTTTTTCAAAGGAAAAGAGGCAATAAATGCATATCAATTAAAAAGCGAAAGCAATATATCCATAAAAAAAAGAAAAAGAACACAATAATTGCATCTCAATAAAAATTGGAAATTTATCAAATCACACCAAAGAGTCGAACTATTTAACACCTCACCCATATCATTTGATTCAATTCAAGTAACTTAGTGTTCTTTTGATGAAATTGCAAACAGCCCATCAAATAACACATCATAAAGGGTTTTGACATTTATCAAATCACCCTTATGTTGAAATATTTAGTAGTTCAACTTTTAGGTGCAGTTTGATAAAACTCTCATAAAAAGAAGAAAGCAATAATTCTTCAAATCTTTTGAAGAATTATTTAACACCTCACCCATATCATTTGATCCAATTCAAGTAACTTAGTGTTCTTTTGATGAAATTGCAAACAGCCCATCAAATAACACATCATAAAGGGTTTTGAGATTTATCAAATCACCCTTATGTTGAAATATTTAGTAGTTCAACTTTTAGGTGCGGTTTGATAAAACTCTCATTAAAAGAAGAAAGCAATAATTCTTCAAATCTGTGTTCTGTAAAATTTTCAAAGGACAAGAGATTCTTAAATCTGCCAATCACCGAATTTTAAATAAGATGATCCCAGTTTCAAATTTGATGTAGAGAATGTTGGGGTCAGACATTCATTAAAAGTTGTTTTTGAGATTTTTTTTTTTTGGTATAAATTGAAATGAAGGGGTGAATGTGAAGAAAAGGGCAGGACTTGCATATGATTTGACTGAGGTAATTACCATGTACATTGTAATATCAAATAAAGATCTTTCCTATATAATTGCAGGACTTATATTTGAGAAGACTCAAAATAAATAAATCTGAGTTTGTACTCTCAAATTTTATTTGAGTAAATTATCGTAAGTATAATTAAAGGAATTTCTAAAATATTAAATTTTTATTAAATTTTTAAAAATTGCTAAAATAAAATATTAATTTTTTGTTAAATATTAAAAATTGCTAAAATACATTCTCAATATTATCTAGTTTTATCTATTTATCTAGTTTAATTTATTTCTTGTACGGATGTCCTCATGGCGTTTCCAAACTTGGAAACTAGCAAGCAATGTTCCTCCACTTCAAATACTTCTTGTGTTTCTGCTTTTAACAACTATGATCTGGAGGTATATAGATTTGAACTTGTAGTCACTGTATTATTCTCTTTGTTTTTTGTTAATAAATTGTTTCTATATTGTATCTTTAAAGAGTTCTTTCGCTTTTCTTTCTGCAATTATAAGAATGCCTTGATCCTCCAAAAAAATAAAAGCGTATCGAAACAGAAAATCAGAAAATTCAATTTTTTTGGAGGAGATCCTGATAGCAATTTGCCATTGAGTGACTATTCGAGATCTTCATATGTAACCATTGAGTGACTGAATTGGAGATCTTCATATCTAATCTTAGATTGAAAGCCATGCCAGTGGAAGTCAGTTGCACAACAGCTACCAGTTTTGAAGATATATGAAGCTACAAACAAGCCACTTCAGTAGTTTTTTCTATAAGCAAATAGCCACTGTAGTTATTACAAAACGTACCTTTGCACCATTTGACTTGTTGTAGGTTCCATTGTGACATTTCAAATATTGCAGTTTAGGAGATGTAAAGATCCACACTGGCCAATTTGCCAGCCTGTATGATGCCAACCCACACACACATAACTTCCAGCTTATGTGCTTTCGGTTCTGATTCTGATGTCATTTCTGCTTTGGATTCTCATATAGAGGGAACGGTGGCATTTGGTTATTTTTGTGTGGCAACTTTCGTTCTTAATCCAATAAGCTTCTTGATGCAATAAGCCTTATTAATTTTGAAAAAGAAAGTGTTCAAATGATTTTGTTATTTGTATGGGTTGCTACAATGGTCATAGTTAAGAGAGAATGGGTGTTCACTGTTTTAAGTATTGGAATATCTTAGTCATTTCAAAGAATACATGAGCATTATTCCTGATTACCTACTTATTGTGCAAAGAATGAGCGTGATGGTGTAACTTTTTCCATTTCTCTTACTTTTTAAGGGTTTTGTTGTTTGTGCTTTCCTTTTATTCTAAACTAGTCGATTACTGGATGCAGTTTTTCTCATGGGCCCATATGGGTGTTTTACTTTTTAATTTTTTACTGACTGATGATCAATGATACTTGATTGGCATGTCTAGCGCATGCAGGGACATATTTTATGTTAATAAGAGTAAATAAGGTGACCTTGAATGTATGCTTTGGAGATGAATGAATTGACATTCCTTATTACAATATTGGTTACTGAAGAAGTAAAGGATGCAATGATTTTTTAACATTCCCCAATTCAAATCGTGTAATGTATGGATTGACTGCTATGCATGAATTGGTTGGAGTTCATTAAAATTGTTCTCCTTACTTTAAAATTGTTCTCCTTACTGAAATATTTCATCTGATGTTTGGAATCATGGTAAAAATTTGAATATTCTAATATTAGCTATGTCATGATGTGGCAGGTTGAAGCTGCCATTGCTTCCAAGATTATCTCTGGGACATGTAGCACAAGTGTCTCCAAGGTAAACCACATTGCTAGGTTCTCTATTGGTACCTTCTATTGTAGTGTTATTTCTATCTTCATCATGTTAAGAAGTAAACACAGTGTCAGTTGTCTGGATATCTCAATCATATGTTTACTTCAAAAGATTAACCATCACCAATTTTTCTTCTATTGCATTCTGATCATTATTTATCATTAATAGGTCCTTTACCGTGTTCTTGCTTCCCTTATTTTTGTCCTCCATCAAAAGTTGAGTATGTCTTTGTTTTCCAATTTCTAGAAGTTCGCCCGGGGCCTGGCTTTCCTTCCCAAGGCAAGAAGTGATGCAGATAGCTGGTTCTCTATGATGCAAAAGATAATTATTTCAATTAATAGCAATCTCAATCAGGCTTTTGAAGGCCTAGAAGGAGGCATGTGTTACTTGTATCCTGATTATGTAGTCCTGTGTGTGTGTGTGTGTTGAAAAATTTTCTTTGGGCCCATGGCTAAAGTGCTATAGTATATACCCAAGTGACAAAACACCAAGTAAGGGGGATTCCTTTGACCCCAAAACTCTCAATTCTTGTATGTTTGTCTTTAAGATAAATTTAAAAAATTATATAAAGCTTAAAAAGTGCTCCATCGCAGTTCCCACTCCAAGGGCGACAATGGAAGTGTCCATTTGGTGGACAATGAGATCTAGGGGTTCTACTTTTTCTAAATTAGTCACAAGGTAAATAAAAAATGATGTGAAAATTTCAGGTTGTTAAAAACCCCCTAATAGAGTGTTTTGGCCTTGAAGTGCTACATGTTGGGCCTGGGGCCATATAATGTTTTCATATCTATCTATCAATTTATCTATCTATTTAGGGGCATCTGTTCATAGCCGACCTCAAATAGTTGGGAAAAGGATTTGATGATGATGATGATGAAGGGCATCTATTCAGGCCTTGCCCACACACTCTTTTGGGCCTAGAGAACAAGATTGTGGAAAAGAAACCTGAAAAAATGAATTTATTTTGAGGTGAGAGAATATGTGGGCAAAATTTGGGCCCTTTAGGACCCAAAAAATGGTGGAGGGTGGACATTGTAGGGGTCCTTCCTTGGGCGGATGAAATCTATTCACACACCCACACCGACACCCACACCGATACCCGCACCCACCCACACACCAATCTAGCTTTTCATTAGTGAACTAACATATCTTATTGCCCTTGTTGCAGCAACTAAAGGTACTGAAGTGACTGCTATCTTGGTTCCACCGGGTAAAGATCCACCTCCACCTTTGGGAGGTCAGTCAGTGTTGGCCCTTAATGAAACAACAAAACGATTTTGGCAGTTGCTTACTCCCCGAGTGTCTGTTCTGATGCAATGCTGTTCAATGATGCTTACCAATGCTTACCCTGTCCAGGTATATCACATTTTAAACTTTTTTTCTTCTTCTTCACAACACCTTCTTTTTTATTTTTTTCATTCACTTGTATATGTGCTTAAAAACATTTTGGTTGATAGATGTCTCCTTAAGAACCCCTCGATTTACAATGTTTATTTTGTCTGTTTTGTGAAACAGGTGACTGTCCCTATTCGTCCTCTGCTTGCACTTGTTGGACGAGTAATGTCTGTGGATGGTGCTCTTTGCCAGACTTTGATGCCCATTCTGCTAGTTTCTCAACAATTGTTTCTTTGCTCTGAGCTACCATTATTGCAATTATGTAGTTTGGATTTACTGACTTCCATAATCAAGGGGGTGGGAAGGTGCGAATTTATTTGCTTGCTTTGGGCCCAGCAGATTTACGGTATTATGCCTTGTATTGTTATGTTTTGTTAGATAAATGTATTAGTGGATTGTCTTGCATTGCTTTCTCTTTGTAAGATGCTCTTTCCGGATAATTCTTTACAGAATCTTTCATTGGGTAGGGTTAGAGTCAATCACCTTTACTCAAAAAGGAAAACACAGGTAGAATTAAAAGCCCTATTAGTTTAAAGTTAGAGTCCTGTATTAAGCACATGAACTTGATTTCTTGGCCTAAATTTATTTACTTGATTTTTTTTTTCTTTTCAATTCACCCATTTATTTACATGTGGTCTTTCTGTCTTCTTTGTTTATATCTAATCTATACTTACCAATACTTACCATATCCAGGAGTCATTGTGGGGATTTTGTTTGAAGATGCTTTTACTATAGTACCATGTCTAACATTTACTCAATTTCAGTTCTGGCAGTCTATGACCTAGGTTTTAATCATCTTTCTGCATTCTGTCATACATACTAATACTTTATTAAATATGTTCTCACAATACCAAAATCCGTGTGTGCAGTCATGCTAGAATTGCAACGGATTTTGATTTGCATCCGAGATCATTCATGATGGTGTGAAATTCACAAAGATAGATATTCATGAAGATCAATATTTTTCTTTCTGAATAGATAGCTGACGATACGTGTCAACCTTTCCTTTCGAGATAGAGTTAGCTGATGCATGCATATTTCATTAATATGCAGTCAACTGTTGCCTCATGCTGCTGATGTTGTAAGGCTCCTAACAGAGTGCTTCAGGAGATGTGCATTGCCTGATTTAAGAATAAAGCTTTACTCAATTGCACAAACCCTGCTGATCTCTATGGGCATAGGTATGGATCAAGTCTCCCAAATCTATAATAGTCCCCTTGTTCTGAAGTAGTGCTATCTGTGGGACATGTACTCGTATTATTATTTCTCTTTAGCTTCTCTGTATGATTGCAATCGACATTACCCACATGATTGGCATCAATAACCACTTTTATGTTTGATAAATTTCAAAATTTCAAGTCGCAATTGTTTTTCTTTTTATATGTACTTCGTGCTTTTTGAACGCGAACGGAGGGCTAAGAAGTAGATTGCACAATTGTAAGACAATATTATGTGTGTGTAAGGAAGTCAAACAAAAAGGGTAGGTAGGATACCGTTATTGTCCTAATGGATGTGTATTTTTTATGCTCACTCCATTAATCAACTACACTAGCATGATATTGCTTTTTAGATTGGAAGGAACAGTTTGCTGTATGTCTACAGAGGACTAGATGAAGGCATATTTTGGGAGGGAGTAGATATGTACTTTTGAAAGTAATGGATGTAGGATTAAAAGTAGAGCACATATACTGTGCTCCTGCAGGAGCATATTGCCATCTACTCCCTCAGTCAAAACACCTAGCTAGGTTGATTTTTCAGTCTAAAACTTTGGGAACCATATAACAATTACAAGATTATTTTTAAAAGATAAATTTTGAAATTTGAGTTCTGTGACACTTAGATCTAAGCCTTCAAAATTGGATGGTCTCTATTCGATCTTTAGGCATTAGTTTTTTCTATTACATGGAGAGTTTATTTCAGAATTTCTTTTGCTGAGATTATTCTATGGTTTGAACATATTACATCCCCAAAATTTGAGATCTAAAAAGTATCCCTAGCATGTCTTTTGCCCGAGGGACGAAATGGATAGTATCCTCCCTAGGGAGAAGGAAATCTTAATAGGCATTTTAATTGCAAACAAGACGATTAATTTGAGAAATGCGGTTGGTCATGATGATATGAAAGTATTTATTTACACCATTTTTTGAGGGGCCTTAGGACATGAACACAGGAGAATCAGTTGGATTTTTAAATTATCTAAAATCTAATGAAATGAGTCCCTCTAAAATTTGAACGTGAAGACAAATTTATGATTGTGAGGTCAACTTAAATAATATTCCAAATTTTGTTGCATTATATAGGTCCTAAGTATGCCTTTTTCTTTTTTTTTTGTTAATGAAGAGATCGTAAGTGTGTCCAAACTGTTTTAGACACAACTTGTATATGTAATTCACAATGAACCTAGAAATCACAGAAGATGGTTCTTAAAATGTTCATCTTGAACAGGAATGGCTCTTTACCTTGCATCAGAAGTACTTACAAATGCATTTGTTGACCTGAAATTTACCAATCACAACTCTGTCATAAGCTCATTCGAACTTCTCAATTCAAAAAAACAAAGGGCGGTGGGGCCACCCTCAAACCAATGTAAAAGGAAGCGTGGCTCTGAACCGCAGCCCCTGAGTGCAGTTGATGCTGAAGCTGAAGATCAAAACATCAATAGCACAATTCCAGTTTCTGTGCAAATATCAGCACTGAAGGCATTGGAAGCCCTTCTCACTGTGGTATGTGCATTGTACTGATTCATAAGAATCATAACTGCCTATTACCAAAAAGCATGAACTACCTGCATATGAGATACCTTTAGTTATCTAAGAATGCTCAAGACCTTTGTGTGTGTGTATGTATTTTGAGAGAGAGAGGGGGGGGAGGGAGGTTCTGATGAGCACTTATAGATTGACCCCTAACGCCCATCCATTATCATCCATTAGGTGAGAAAGAGAGATATATGATATATGACTGCTAAAGACCAAGTCCCTTGTCCCCATCCATTTACATGAATGTTTTTTCTTTTCTTTTCCTTTTTCTTTCCTTGTTTTTTTTTTGTTTTTTGTTGGGGTGGGATTTTTTTTGGGGGGGGGGAGGGGAAGGGGAGAGAGAGACAGAGGGGCTGATATCAGTGTCTTTTCTGAAAGTTACGTTGTGTGTAGTGTATCACATCTATCACTTTTAAGTATATGAACTATTTTAAAGATTTAGCAGGGTGGGACGCTGAGATCAGAGTGTTGGCGCGCCCAAGTGGACCTTCTTCTGATAACTACGGCCAGCAATGCTTTTGATGGGTTTATTACATTTGGGGAAGCAAATGCCCTCATAGCTGATGAACCGGCATCCATAAGAGCTGATTTTCAGCTTGCTGCTTTTGAAGCACTCTTAGCATCTCTTCTCTCTCCATGTGGCCATCGTCCACCTTATTTATCTCAGGGCCTTGCACTCTTCCGTGAAGGTGATCTCTCTCTCTCTCTCTCTCTCTCTCTCACTTTCTCTCTCCATGTACTTTTGAGGTCAGCTTGGTTGCAAGAGAGATTCGAACCTGAGATCTCTTAATGGAAAACTAAGCCTCTCTGTCGCTGTCCCTTGTGCTCTATGTTTCTTACCGCAGGCAAGAGGGAGGGAGGAACAAGGCTTGCTGAGTTCTGTGCTCACGCTCTGTTAGCTCTAGAGCCACTCATCCACCCTCGTGCGCTTCCATTATCATCAGTTGCAGCAACTAACATGGGACGTAAGTTGGATGAGACTACATTTTCCAGTGGTCAAAAGCCAGGGATGCCATTTCTTGATGAAAGGGCAGGACCCTCAAGTTCCAAAAGCGACGATTTTTATGATGCCTTGTGCTCAAGCTGGCTTAAAAACAGCGAGGAGCCCGAGTCCAAAGACATGAATCAGGCAGAAGAGCCAGGTGTAACTGGGGTTTTTGGCCAAGGAGCGGCAGAGAATGTGAGTGGTAATAGGGAGAAAGGGTTTGAACCTGGCGTTTTCGACAAGGAAATGGAGAAAGATAAGAGAGAGGGGGAGTTCAGAACTGGTATTTTTGACAAGGAAATGGAGAATGTGGGTGATAGGAGAGAGAAAGTGTTTGGAACCTGTAATTTTGAGCAAGAGATGATGGAGAGTGAGGCCGAGAAGGGAGAGAAAGTGTTTGAAACCAGTGTTTTGGACAAAGATGTAATGGAGAATGTGGAAGATAAGACCGAGGAAGTGTTTGGAGGGGATGCATTGGATGGCAATGTGGTTTCCCGAACAGGTGAACCATTTTCAAGTAAGGGTTTTATGGTGGCATTATCAGATTCTGAACCAGAACCCTTACCGGACATTGTTGATTCCGATCCAGACACCGATTAGACTCGCAGGTTTTGTCCTTGGCTTAACTTGAGCTTCAATTTTGTTTTTGTATATTATTTTCGTAATAGTAAAACATGCTTATAAAGTTTTTGAGTACCAAATTTTAGTGATTGAATCAAATTAAACTTATAATTAACTCTTTAGGAAAGGGTACCATTTTTTTAAAAAATATTTGTGCAGTGTATATTCTTTGAGTCAGTGTTTGCAAAATCGGTCGGTTAGAACCAGAATCGGTCGGTTAGATCGCTACCGGTGGGGTGGCAAGTCCGATTAGGGCCGGTTTTACGGCACACCTCATAAGACGGCAGTCTCCAAAAAAATAGGCACCAAAACCGGCCGGTTTGAGGTTGAACCAGCGGTTTCTAGTATAAACTGACCCGTTTTTTCTAATTGGTTCGGCGTTTTCAACGCATCAAATAACGGTCGTTATTTGATACATGTCCGTTATTTTTCACATAACAAGATTTTGCTGTTTTTTTTTTTTGTATATTTTTTGTGTTTTTTGGTCAACTATTGATGTTATACATTGGAAAGTTTCTATAAATTGTCGATTATGGAATCAAAATTTCAAAAACAAAGAGTTCTTGGTGGATTGAAATGGGGTTTTTTGAAAATTAGACATTATGCCATTCTATCAAATGCAGCTTCAATACTTCATAGATTTTCATAAAAATGGAGGGCTTTGATTCATTGTTGAAGGATTCAATGTTCACATATTGCAAAATTTCCAAAACGATAAAGATTTGAGGTTTTTTTGGGGCCAAAGTACTGCTGCTCAAAGAACTGTTTTTTATCCAAACAAATTGATTTCTGATCGATCAATTGATCGATTTTTATCGAATTGATCGCTGAAGTTTGATCCTAAAAGCCTCATGTATCAAATAAACTAATTATTTTGATTTACTATTGATTAAATGTTTTTATATCGATTTTTTTTGTTTTTTTCTTGAAATTTCCGTGAAGTGAAAAATCTACAATTTTGTGAATAAAGATTTCAATAGTGAATGAATCTTTATGAGATTTGGGGCATTTGAATCTTAATTAAAGTATCTATCATATCCCCATGTCAATTTGTTCAAAACATGAAAGATTTGGGGTTGATTTTGACTCTAAAGTTTTTGTGTTCTTTGGCTCTATTTTAGGGTTCTTAAAAAAAATTTGTTTTTTAATCAAATTATGTTTTGTTTTTATAAAAATTTGTTTTTTGTGATGAATATGAGAAAAAAAGAATATATTATTTTTTTTAAATTTTTTTATATATTTTTTGTGAGCTTTTTGGATCGTTTTTTATGTTATTTACAAAAATGTCTTTTTTTTTTATGAATATGAGAAAAAATATTTCCTTCTTTTTATTGTTATATATTTTTGGTGAGCTTGTTGGATTGGTTTTAATGTTATATATTTTTTTTATAAAAATATTTTTTTTTGTGATGAATATGATAAAAAAATTTATTTCTTGTTAAGATTATTTTTGGTGCATGTTATTTTCTCAACTTCTTGTTTATTTTAATTTGTTTTTTATTTGTCACAAGCTATCTATCATTTTTAGCAACTTCATACTCCTTAAATCTGTTTATTAGCCTTTATGAAGAAAAGAGGTAGAAGCTAAAAAGTGTTTTACTCATCTCTCATGTTTCCACATGCCGAAATGGATAAAAAATTGACCTTTTTTTTTATATTATTAATATACATCTTAATTCTACATTTTAAAGTTGCCATCTTATATAAACTTTTTGTTTTTCATGTTAAAACCTAACTCAAAAGGTTACTGAGTAAACTACATTTTAAAGTTGCCATCTTATATAAACTTTTTTTTTTTCATGTTAAAACCTAACTCAAAAGGTTACTGAGTAAATGAGGTTTGGCCATTTTAAAATCGATTTGGCCATTTGAAAATCGACTTGGCCATATTTTTAAAAATATGCGATTTAGCCATTTTAAGCAACACTTGACACCTTGACCCACACCTTGGATTTGATAACCAAGTTACTGAGTAAATGAGGTACTCTCTCTTACTACTTTGACTCACAACCTTTCGAAACAACCTTTCGAAAAACTAGGAACATCATGCTACAAAAAAATACGCTATGAAATTCAATTCTAAACCGTATTAAAGGGTTTTTCAACATTAAAACAACCTTTTTCAACATCAACATTAAAATAACATAGAAGCATATATTGTTGCATCATCTATTATTATTTGGACTTTGTAACTTCATCAATTGAATTTATGTGAAACTATAGATTGTCTCGCATATCTCCATAATATTCAAATATTAAATTATATAAAAATTTGTTTCAAATTTTTTTTATAAGATAAATGTATATAATATGATAGTGTATTCTTCATCTAAGTTTTTCTATTTTTTTTTGGGCGTTTTGCCCCATCTTTTTTTAAAAAAATCTATTTGACCGGTTAGTCCGGTTAACCGCTCCGGTTAGTTCGATTCCGGTTCGAACCGCTCCTAGCCTCATGACTGGTTAACCTTTCCCGTTCGATTTTGCGAACACTGCTTTGAATACAAGAAGTGTGTAGGTAAATTGCAATATGGCACTAATATCCCAGTTAAATATGAGCCTCATCAAAACTTTTAGTCATTTTCATTGATTTTGGTCATCGTTTTGTGAATTTTCTAGACCAGTAGAAAATGTCTCGAAACATTTAACTTCACTTGTAAATTTCCCAAACTCATGGTGCAATCAGCATATCCTTTTCTTTCTTGTCATTGGTTTTTAAAACTGAAATTTCTGAGCTTACTGCACTAAACTGGGTCATCCTCACTCTCGAGATTATTCCAACCACTGATGTGTTTGTGTAAGAGACAAATATTATTCTAACCGGTATATGTATGTTGGATCCATTGCCTTCATATGAACTTTTTTTTTTTTACCATTTTTATCCATATTATTGGCAACAAAGTCACAATCATTCGCCATTAGATTTCAAGCTGTCTGATTTGTCGTGTTTAATAGCTAAAAAGGACTACGAGTTTTTATTGTGTATAATCTTTAATACATCAAAACGAATAGGATTTAAACAATTTATCTTTAATGGCTAGTGTTTAAGTCCCGGTTTTGGACCCGGACTCAAGGTCGTGTCTACCTTTTGGGACCTGGGCTTAGTCGAGTCCATTGCCACACCTAGGATACTCATACCATGCCTTGTAGGATTCACAGCAATTCCAGTTATTTCATGAATTTGTAAAAAAGTTCGGTCCCGAGGCCTAGATAGTTGGGTTGATGGAGCAGCAACGTCGCCCGTTTCCATTCCTACTCACCGTACCCATGTCAAAAAGAGTAGGCTTTGACAGTAACTAAAGAAAAGTATTTTGACTGTGCTGCTTTATGAAGTTTCACCTCAAAACACCCAGGAAATGTCTAGATACTGGCAAGCCAATCACATCGACAACAAATATCATATATTTGATAAAAATAAATGGTTTTAGCCTCTAAAAATGGTTGTTAACATTTTTTTCGGACCAATTCATTTCTAGTGTTCACATGACTAGCTTTACAGTGAGGGTAAAAATATATTTAGGCCATCACAACGGTTTCCGTCACCAGAACTCATATTCCAGCACGCTTTTGAGGTGAGGCTTTAATGGATTTCTTGTCATTCAGCACATGGGACTATAGCCATAAAATAATACAACTCTTCCAACGCTCTTTTAAGTCCAAAATATTCGAGGTTCAGACTAAATCACCCTACCATTGTGACCTCTTAAGCTTTGTTACTCAGGTGATCAACCACCTTTTCATTCTCCTACAATGCTTCAGTAATGGGTCTTTCAAGTGACACCATTGTTGAATATTCAAGTCGTTTATTTTGCAGCTCATGCCTTAATTTTTGGCTCCAGGCAATCTAGATTACGTGTAGATTTACCGAGTATCGTAGTGGTTTGAATTTGGTCCCCTGCTCATTTATGTTGTTATTGAGCATGAATCCAATGCTTTCCTCATCTTACAAGTTTTAAAAATAGTGAACTTAAGTCTTAAAAATTGAAAATCAAAAGTTTATTTTTATACGAGAATGACCGTTGCATGAAGGAACGAGCTCAAAATTAGGTCAAGGGTGATAAGACT